TCGTTCCAGCCTTCATCAAAGTTGTTATCTCCACTCACACTTCATTTTTCTTCCTGCTGTACCTAGAAGGGACATAAGTCTGTAAGTATATTGTTAGTGTGTGAAGTACACGTGTAACTTACCTGTTATGGTGTCCCGTTTTGATTTAATATCATTTGTGTGTAAAGTGAATAGCGCGACCGATGCTAATGCGCTAGCCCGTCAATGGGATTTTCCATATTATGTTAGCATTGAGCTAAGCGCTACTCATTACCACTTCTCGTGTGGAGTAAATTATAACTTTGGTGTATGTTTATGCGTGTTGTATTTATAAATGTGTAAGAAACAGACAAAACGAAGTCTGACATACTTTTTAATTTTTTGTATTACAGTTTCACAGATCTTCTTAAGTAAAACATCAAAAACCTACCTGAAGACTCTGCGGTGTTTTATTGAGAAACTGTTAACTATCTGGCAAGTTAGAAGTCAGCCGCATTCTTGCGAGGGCAGAATAGTGAAAAGACTTATTCCTGACGGGTTACCAACAGAGAAGTGGATCTTCGTGGAAATACACAGTGTCCCTCTGACGTTAAAGCTGCAAGATGGATAATAATGAAGACACATTTGAGACAAGATCAGTGTGTTCCAACTCCTCACGTGGCAGTCAGCGTTCTTCAGCTAGCGCCATTGCAGCCAAGGCACGTACAAAAGCAGAGGCTGCGCGTGCAAAGTATCGTTTGCACAACAGGAAGCAGACATGATGAAAGCTCAAGCATATGTTGAAGAGCAACAACAAAAGGCTGCAGCTGAGGCTGCAAAAAAGAAAGCAGAGCTAGAAGCTAGTCTGCACACACTGAAACTAGAGAGTGAGGCTGCAGCTGCCATCGCTGAAGCTAATGTTTTGGAAGCAGCTGCTGAGAATGAGCTTGGAGAGCTAGATAGTGCTAGCCTAAAAAATGAATATGCTGATCACAGGTACATTGAGAATCCGAGACCTGAGCCTTACCAAGACTCAAAGCCACCGGAACCCACAGCAACACCAATGCGCCAGCCAATAAAGGACAACGGTGAGACAGCTGAAAACAACATGGAGGAAGGTAAAGACGAGTCAAGCGAGGTCAGCAACTATGAACTCAGCTACCATGTACCTGCTCATCCAATGTTCAAACAGGAGGATGATTCGACTCCATATCATCCTCACGCTCACACTCAAAGTGTATCCAGAATTGACTCCCTGAAACGAGAGCGCCTGCACAGTTCAAATCCACGCAGGTACAGTCATCAGACGCAATCACACAACAGAAGACAAACCAGCAGTAGCTACCAACCTCCTCACTCGCATACTGGTGTCACTCCCAGAACCAACGAACCCAGTTCTTCATCTACAACTGATCTGGCCAAGTACTTAATTCGTCGAGAGATGATAAGCTCTGGTCTGTTGAGGTTCGACGACCATCCCGAAAATTATTGGACCTGGAAGGAATCCTTTCACAGTTGTACAGTGGATTTAAACCTGACAGCGAGGGAGGAGCTTGATCTGCTGTGTAAATGGCTTGGACCAAAATCATCCCGAAAATGCAAAGAGAATACAGGCAGTTCACATCCACGATGCAGCAGTAGGTGTGAATATAATATGGCAAAGGTTGGAAGACTGCTATGGATCACCCGAAGCTATAGAAAATGCACTACTCAAGAAGGTGGACGAGTTTCCAAGTAATCTCAAATCGAGAAAATCAAAGACTAAGAGAGTTGGGAGACCTTCTCTTAGAACTTGAAGTGGTCAGGGAGGATGGATTTCTGCCTGGTCTCAATTACTTGGACACTTCTCGTGGCATTACTCCAATCGTCCAGAAGCTGCCATATTCCCTGCATGACAAGTGGGTCTCTGTAGCATCACGTTACAAAGAAAAACATCACACATCATACCCACCTTTGTCCTTCTTTGCTAAGTTTGTTTGTGATCAAGCCAAAATACTCAACGATCCGAGCTTTGCCCTACTCACAGGTGGTACGAGCATGGGAAAGGTGGAGCAGTCCTTTAAACACAACACAAAAAGTTTCAAAACAGTTTCCGTCAAAAAGAAAATGGTGGTTGACCCAGATAAGCAATGTCCACTCAACAACAAACCACACCCCCTTAGAAAGTGTCATGGTTTCAGGAGCAAAACTTTGGATGAGAGGAAAGCTTATCTTAAAGAGAAGAATATTTGCTATAGGTGTTGTGCATCAACCAGCCACCTAGCTAAAGACTGTGAGAAAAATGTTCAGTGCAGAGAATGCAGCAGGAGCGACAGCCACCCTACAGCATTACACCCAGGGCCGGCTCCATGGATGACAGGGGTCTCTGTAACCATGAGAGAGCAAGGCGGGGAGCAAGATGAGGGACTCCCTCAAACTGTCACATCGAAATGCACTGACATTTGCGGGTCTACAGTTAAGTCAAGATCATGCTCCAAAATCTGTCTCGTCAGAGTGTATCCAGCACGTCAGAGAGAGAGAACAGTAAACAATAAGTCCCTGGCAAGATCAGAGTTTTTTTTAACTATTTAGTATTACAGAGGGCGTGGCAGCATACACCCTGAAGACCTGCTCGGGTGTCATTGAAACCGCAGGGCGGAGGGCTAACAATTTCATCATAGAGTCGCTAGATGGTAAAAGTTGCATTCCTCTTCCTTCTCTAATCGAATGTGACATGCTTCCAGACGACAAGTCCGAAATCCCAACGCCTGAGATTGCCAGACACTATAAACATCTCAAGCGGGTTGTGGACAGGATCCCAGCTCTCGACCGCTCTGCATCCATCCTTATCCTGCTCGGCCGAGACATGCCACGTGCACACAAGGTTCGAGAACAATGCAATGGGCCCCACAATGCCCCCTATGCCCAGCGTCTCGACTTAGGCTGGGTGATCGTAGGAGACGTCTGTGTTGGAAGGGCCCACAAATTGTATTGTGCCAATGTCTACCTGACTAATGTGCTGAGTAATGGACGTACGTCTCTGTTTGACCCTTGTACTAACAGTATCCACATCAAAGAGAGACCGGATATTCCAGTGCATCGCCATCACTTTCCTAACGATAATGAGCCAAAAGACCTGTTAGATGAAGACAATAGCCTTGGAAAAGGAGTCTTCCAGCAAACACCAGACGACGATAAGCCCGCCATGTCTGTGGAAGACCAAGCCTTCTTGGAAGTGATGGACAGGGAGGTCTTCATGGATGACTCCAATAGTTGGGTGGCGCCCCTACCCTTCAGGGAACCTAGGCGTAGACTCCCTAACAACAGAATGCAAGCAGTCAAGCGTGTCACGACATTACGCCGCATGCTTGAGAAAAAGCCAGACATGAAAGAACACATGGGGCTTCAAGAGGCAGAGCGGGTCGTCCCCCAAATTGGAAGGTTGTTGGTTCGATCCCCGGGCTCCTGCTGCCACGTGTCGAAGTATCCTTGAGCTGATTCAGTGTGGAATGTTGTATGTATGGAGTATTTCTGTTCGATGGACTTTGCCATCACTGAGTTGAATGTTGTGTGAATGTGGCACGTAGTGTAAAGTGGTCGGAAGACTAGAAAGCGCTATACAAGTACAGGTCCATTTACCAGAAGATTTTCGAGGCAGGTCATGCTGAACCACCACTCAGTGAGGAACAAGAGTGCTGGCACTTACCAATCTTTGGAGTTTATCATCCGCACAAGCCAGGCCAGGTGCGAGCAGTGTTTGACTCCAGCACCAAGCACGACGGTGTCTCCTGTTGGGATCCAAGGATACCCCT